CTGAGATGCTTACACATTCACTGATTCAGGTTTCCTCCTGCAGTCAACATCATAGTGTGTGTTTTGTGAGATAGAGAAGGACTTTGTGGATTTGGTGTTGGACATATGGGTTAATGGGTTAATGTTGGATTGTGGGCTTGGGCAGCACTAGGTTGGGATGTTTTCTTGATGTGCACTTAACGTTTATATAAAACTCTCTCTTACACATGAGTTTCTGTGGATTTGTTTCTCTCAAGTACCCAGACTAACACAGGTGGATTGGAAGAAGATGAACATGTTCTGAAGTGATACAAAGGAGTAAGACATTAATGAAAGAATTTTTCAAAACAATTTTCTTCTTTTCATCTCCCCCCCGCCCATTTTTGAATAGTACATGTTTTCTAATGGTGTTCCTGAAAATATTTTGAGTCTATAACAGCATTATCCAATTATTAGCAATGGAGTCAAGGTAGCACAAGGTGACCTGGAAAAGAACTAGATCACACTGCTTATTGAGCCTTGATGTAAAATTACTTACTTTTGTTTGCTTATCACTTCTCTTAAACTAATATGAGCCAAAGTTACCAAGGCATCATAGACTGGGGATAGGAACCAAAAGTGCTGCGTAGCTTTAGTAGCCTGGCATCACATATTATTTACTCTTCACATATAAACTCAGCTCCAGTTTGCAAACTATTCCCAATAATTATTGCCCATATTCACAGTCTATACCTAGATAAGCATAAAATTATGCATGAAGACCCCTATAACATGTTCAAACAAAACCCCATTTCCTATATTAATTGCCTATTCCTGTACTTTGAAATTGTGTAACTCCTAGTGAGCTTGCAAGTTTTATAAGGTAAACCAATTTTGTTATTCCCACATATTAATAACTTCAAGTGGACAACTTCAAAGGGACTTCATGCATCATTAAAAATAACATCTCAAGATCTATTTTGAAGTACAGTGTTGTCTGCGATAGGATAATGTCTATAGGCTTATAAGGAAGTTCAATTTTCCCAATGGATAGGTTGATTTGTCGACAACTGCCTGCATGGGCATTGATTGTGATCCAAGTTAAATGAAACCTTTGATAACTTTCATAATTTATCTGTGTATACTGATATTCCTTATTGGTCTAGTTGTATTTGCATTTTATTTATGTTGCGAGTAGCTTATACTTGCAGGGCAGTGAATTACTGAAGGTGGCTTTTCTTGCCATAGTCTCCCACCACATGGCCTTTTCCTGATCAGTCTGGGTTGGTGAAGTTGGGAGAAGATATTCGTAAGATTCCGTTGTTATGTTTGGTAACAGGATTCGTTGTGATTGCAATCCTGCTGCATATGAAACGAACACTCTGAGAAGCAGGAAGGGAACCATAATACTAGCACGAGCCAGGAGAAGGGTGCATCTTCTGGACCCTGAGATTCCTGAGCAATGGAAACCTTCCTGACCAAGGACAAGCGCTCTAACATCAGAGGCGTGACACAGGGGCCATAGCAACAGAACCAGGACCCAGAGCAAAAGATACAGCAGTGGACTTCCCAACCCACAGAGCACGTAAAGCTTAGTGCTTTGGGGTAGGAAGCTGGCTTATGGAGTGGGGTGCCTGTGTACCCCTATTTCAAAGAGTTGGCTTTGCTGATCCACAAAGCTGGAGTTCAATGTCTTTGGATTGAGGCTTAGAGCAGAGTGGCATGCACGCCATTTATTCGTGGCCCTGAAAGAACTTTGTAACATACAGTAACGGAACAATTCTATCCTGAGCATTTCTACTTGAATTATGCCTTGTTAACTTCCATAATATAGTTGTTAGCATTGTCTGCTGGTCTCGTGTGGCCATTTCACTGAAAGGATGGACCCAGCGATAAGAGTAGAGTGGTGTGTGATTGAGCAATAGCTGTTGATCAGCATCAGTACATGTTTGCTTCGTGTTCTCTTCACTTGCAGCAAGCAAGATTATATCATCGCATATCTGGATATCACAGATTGTTAAGGAGTCTTCCTCTAATCATATTCTGCATTCTTATACATATAGTCCCAGTTTTCAATAGACAGATTGTTTTAGTATGGAGAAAATATATAACCAGGACAGACATCTATTTCAGATTTTAAACCCCACTATATACCCTGTACTGATAGAATGACACCTTTATCGGTCTCTGTACAGGTTCTGTATGAGCACAATTAAATCTTCTGGAAATCTTATTATATTCCACCTTTCAACTGTACAAATTCCCCTGGAATATAGTCTAATTCATGGAGGCACCATGGATGTCAGAGTAGAATTGCGCTTCATAGAATTTTAAAATTGTTTTTACTTTTTAAGTATATTTTATTGTGTTTCTGGTAGAATTCACACAGTGGGTTAGCTTACCATTTGATAATGTCTGCACAAGTTGTTCCGTGACATTAGTCACGTTACACAGGATGTCTGCATTCTCAATAATTGGCTCATGCTCTTCTGCCTGCAGTATTCTAGTTACACTGCCCTCATCTTTGTGCCTCATCTTTGCTGTACAGAAATTGTCGATCTTTTGATCTTGTTGTGATTTTTAAAAATGTAGTCCTTCACCCCCTTTATTTTACGCTATTCTTTTACTTCCCTAGAAGATGGCCTCAATAGATAATCCCAGTTCAAGGAGTAATGACGCCCAGAGGGTATGGGAAGGGGTGTGTGTGTGTTTGTGTGTGTGTGTGTGTGAATTGATAGCAACAATGACTGGATAACCCCACTTGAGGGGAACGAATCATAGGGTTGTAGGTGAATGGATACATTGTATGTGTAAGATACAGCAAAATAATAATATTATTAAATAATATAATGATAAGGTTTCCTGGGGGGTAGAGTGATATCAAAGAGTTCAAGAAAAAGAAAGTGTTTTAAAAATGATGGTGGCAGCAACTGTACAGCTATGCTTGATCTAATTGATATATAGATTGCTATAATATCTGTAAGAGCTCCCAATAAAATGACTTTAAAAAAAAAGTTTCTCAGGGAAATAGACTCAGAGACACTTCCAACATCCACTGATACCATAAGTCTGAATTTTGTTTTGCTTTTAATAACCGGAGTGTTATTCTAGGTCCACCATTGTGTTCTTGACCTTCAATGTCAGTAGTGAGAACCCCTGAGCGTCTTGTACTTCTGGTGAGAGGGTAGACAAGGCTGTACTTGTGCAGCAGGCGGTCAGCCTGCAGACGTGCTTCTTCTCGGAGACTTTGACTTTGTGGTTCTCTTTTGTTCCTAACAAGTAGAAACCAAGGATGGTATTTTACACGACTCTTTGCAAACTTTTCCACACACTACTCAGTAGGGATTTCAATGACAGATTTCTCAGAATTCAGATAACCAGCCTTTCATCTGAGCTGCTTCTTAGCAAACTCAAACGACCAAACTTTCTGCTATCAGTCAAGTACAGTCACTATTTACAACACCAGAGACTCCATTTATTTTACATCGTTTTAGTAAAGTAATGATTATATAAAGAGCCCGAGCTCTTCCTAAGCTGGTGCTCAGCAAGGAAATGACCATGTTTAATTCAAGCGTGAAGATTGTGAAACCCAATAGCGAAAAGTTGGATAAATTCGAGGCTGGCATTTCTCAGGATTTCTTGAGCTGCAGATGAACTCGGACCCAAAGGCTCAGTTCAGGGAGCTGCATATACTGGCAGCCAGGGAAATCAAAGTTGTTCGTGGTCAGAAACCTGTGATAATCTTTATTCCTGTTCTTCAACTGAAATCTTTCCTGAAAACCCAAGTGGGGCTGGTACAGGAACTGGAGAAAATAATCAGTGGACAGCATGTTGTCTGTATTGCTCAGAGGAGAATTCTACCTAAACCAGCTCATGAAAGCCGTACAAAGAAGAACCAGAAGCGACCCAGAAGCCGCTGTGCACTGTGCCATCCACGAAGACTCCGTCTCCCCAGGGGCGAACCGGTGCGCACGAGAACCCGCGGAAAGCTGGACGGCAGCGGGCTTGTCAAGGTTCCTTTGGCCGAAGCCCAGCAGAACAACGTAGAACTCAAGGTTGAAACCGCTCCTGGGGTTTAGAAGAAGTTCAAGGGCAGGGTTGGTAATTTTGAACTGCCAGTTTCAATGGTCAATCAAAAATGACTGCATAAAATAGTATTCATCATAGAAAAAAAGAGTCCAACACAAAACGTCTAAACAGAAGAAATACCACTGCTTTTAGATGTGCTTCTCTGAAGTGCACTAGGCTTCAGGACGTTGGTGGGAAAATGGAATTAAAATATACTGGAATTGTTCCACAAGCTTCTTCAAGCCCTTGTGCTGTTTGGGGAACGAATACGTACCAGTAAAAGTGAGCAGACCTTCCTGAAAAGTAATCATCATTTAAAATTGGTCAATGAGGCATAAGCAAAATATAAAATAAAATCAATGGAAGTTTGCTACTTTTTACCTACAGAGTTGATCCGGTGTCTTCTGGCTTCTTTATTATTATTATTATTATTTAATCATTTTATTGCGGGCTTGTACAGCTCTTCTCACAATCCAACCATCCACCCATTGTGTCAGCACATTTATTTACTTTTATTTTTCTTTTTTTCATCTTTTTAAAAAAATCATTTCATTGGGGACTTGTACACCTCCTATCACAATTCACACATCCATCCATTGTGTCAAGCACATTTGCACATATGTTGCCATCATCGTTCTCAAAGCATTTTCTTTCTACTTGAACTTGGTATCAGCTCCTCATTTCTTTCCCTTCTCTCCCCTTCTCTCCCTTCCTCATTCATCAACCCTTGATAACTCATAAATTATTATTATTATTTTTATCTTCAAGTCTTTTTATCACTTTATTAGGGGCTCATACAACTCATCACAATCCATACAGGCATCAGTTGTATAAAGCACATTTGTACATGTGTTGCCCTCATCATTCTCAAAACATTTGCTCTCCACTTAAGCCCCTGGCATCAGGTCCTCATTTTTTTCCCCTCCTTCCCCACTCCCCCCTCCCTCATGAGCTCTTGATAATTTATAAATTATTATTTTTTTCATGTCTTGCACTGTCTGATGTCTCCTTTAAGCCCCCTGTCTGTTGTCCATCCGTCTAGGAGGGGGTTATAGGTAGGTCATTGTGATCGGTTGCCCCTATCTGCCCCCTGCTTCCCCTTACCTTCCTGTTATGGCCACACTCAATACTGGTCCTGAGGAGTTTATCTGTCCTCTATTCCCTGTGTTTCAAGCTCTTATCTGTACCCATGTACATGCTTTGGTCTAGCCAGATATGTAAGGTAGAATTAGGGTCTTGATAGTGGGCGGGGCGTGGGGAGCATTAAAGAACCAGAGGAAAGCTCTATATTTCATCGATGCTATAGAGCACCCTGACTGGCTCGTCTTCTCCTCACGACCCTTCTGTAAGGGGATGTCCAATTATCAAGCACTTTATTATTAAAGATTATTACCACAATTGTCACCTTTGGTAAATGCATATTTTTATTGTGGCATTTGAAACTTTAACAAAGAAAGATGCATGGAGATATTCACCCACAACATTTAACATTTTATTTTCTTTATATATTGACTCCCCAACCCCTAATGTCCAAAGTTATTGCCTGGGAAAAGGTAGATTTAACACTTTGATCTATATTGATAATCATATATTAATTAAATCATATATATTTTTTCTTAATGTGTGTAGGACGTTGAAAGTTTGTCTGATCGTTCCAAAACTTTGTGTTCTTTAACTAGGATTCTAATTGAGGTTGCATGTGATAAGTGTCCCACCGCTTCCTTCTCTGTACCCACATGACATCTGAAGCTGGATTTTTGCCAAAAAATATAAACTTATGAAAGAGTCAAACATTTACCTTGAGTCATAATGCCTTGTAACATAATATGTCTAAGTAGAAATTTAGAGCAGGGTTCATATTCTGAAAATAATTTTTTGTTTTCTTAAACTGAAATGCTAATTGTTCCCCCTTTAATTTGTAAACCAGCTGTTCAGTGTTCTATTCTTCTTCAGAATGACATTTTAATGGGAATCTCAGGAAATCAACTCCATGACAAAATAGTTTGAAAAGAAGCAAAATGCTTTTAGATCAAGCTTTCTAAAGAAAGTTAATGCTTATCTCAAAGAAGATTTTAAAATAAAATGTTAAGCTATTAATTTGCATTCTCAATATTTGCAGAAATGAATTCGTTATCTTAAACATATCAAGACATAGCACTCAAGTTATGAGGAATATTCCAGAATATCTATATATGTGTTATATATATAGATATTCTATTTAAGATTGACTTTATGATATGATTTAATTAATGTATTCTATTTAAGATTGACTTTATGATATGATTTAATGCATTCTATTTAAGATTGACTTTAGGATATGATTTAATTAATAGGTAAAATAAGGCAAGATCTAAGTTTTAATGAATTTAATATAGTAATGGCAGTAGTTGAAGTAAAACATACTGCATTTTCTGTAAAGATTCTATTTGAATTCTCTTATTTACTATACAGTAATAAAATAAACTCCTCCACATGGAAAGTATTAAAATTAGATTATCTTTACCTAGAGATAATACCTAAAAAATGAGACACATGATTTATCAGTAATTTTGAGATGTGGAATATTATTTAAAAATAAGGAATCATGAAAGACAAAAGCTCCATCTACAACACATAGAAGTGTTGTTGCAAATGTTTTATATTTCAAAATATATGTATATAAGGTTAACTGATAGTTGAATCTCCTGAGTGCTTCTTTTAATTATTTCTTCTTTTTAAAATACTGTAGTTACATTGAAGAAGCTGTATTACCATCAGACATAAGGGTCAGATATTTTATTTCATAGGAGTGGATCTCATGTCATGTGTTAATGCTCTGAGAGGTTCTTAATCTTCCTAATGCTGTGACCCTTTAATACAGTTCCTCATGTTGTGGTGACACACCCCCCTGACCATAAAATTATTTTTGTCGCTACTTCTGTAATTTTTCAACTGTTATAAATTGGGTGACCCCTGTGAAAGGGCTGTTCGACCCCCAAAGGGGTTGCGACCCACAGGTTGAGAACCACTGCTCTAGGTAGAGGGACACAAATGATACCTATAGGAATTCATTGAGTCCAATCAGCCTCTTCTGTCTGTCAGGTCTTTAATCTTGATAATTTGGCATTTACTAATCCAGATATACTCAGCTGCATTGCATCTAGGAAATTCTTTTCTTTTTCTTTTTTTAATCATAACTGCCTAACTCTTAAAAGGGATTAGAGGACACTCATTTTTGAATCTTATGCTTTATCTGTGATTATTTTCTTCTTTGTCATGATGCTTCCAATGATTAATAACTGCTTGTAGGAATTGTAGGAAAACATCATAATAATATGAATATATAAAAATTATATTCCTAAATAAAACTCCACTTTTTAGTACAGTTTCCTATGTCCCCAGTTAAGTTAGTAAGACCAGATTGACACAGTCCCCTCTCCCAGAGCACAACTCTATATTATTCTAATGAGGTTTTGCCTTCACCATTTTTGGCAATTTCCCAGGAAAATGGTTTGCAAAAGCTTTTCATTTTATGCTCCAGGATATTCCACAAAATATCTGAAAGCACAGGAATTAGCCAAGTAAATACTTAGAGTCAAAGAAGAATCTACTAATTTGGAGGTAAAAGGTGCAGTGAAGAAATTGTAGGGGATGGGGGGAAGGGGCGGGGGTACAAAGGCAATCTGAGGGAAAGGGCACTGATCCACCACGGAGAGGGTACTGTTTACGTCTGCACAGGAAAGGGAGAGAAGGACCAGACCGCAACCTGGTGCGCCAAGCCTTGAAGGCTACATACTGGCATGAAGCAGTGAACTAACAGGTCTGCGGGGCCAGGCCAGCCCCTATCCCAGCTACATGGACCCCACTCCCCAGAAGAATGCACTACAGGGACAGTACTGAAGATACAGCCCGGGAAAAGTGGTGGGTCTACCACACATGAGCAAACTAAGAGGAAGAGACAGAGACAGAGAACAGCATTCTGGCCCACCCAGCTTTGAGGACAGCATTCCTGCTTGGAATGGCCAATGAACAGAAAAGACCCACCTTAGGGTCACCTTCACCACAAGACACAATGTTCCCTTAGGGTCCCACTGTGCTAAGGGAGAGGGAGGCAGCACGGGAGACACTGTGCAGGAATTGTGCCCAGTCCGACCCCCTCACACTGGGGTGTAAGACAAGGGGAACACAACAGAGCAGCAAGGAAAGCAAAACAATAATGTCCCCAGGAATTCTGAAAATAGATTCTGGACTCAGAGGGCAGGGCTTGGGACTGCATCAGACCCGATCAGAAAGCATAAGGGTCACCAGACAAACCTGGAACTTTCCATAGGCTTTTTCCCCCTTTTCTTTTCTTTCTTCCTTTTTCCCTTTATTCTCATGTCTATCTACTTATATCTACTCATATAAGCCGAGTTTTTCGGCACATTTTTTATGCTGAAAAAGACCCCCTCGGCTTATACTCGAGTGAGGGTCCCACTTCCCTGTTGTCTGGTGCAGTGCTGGTGTTCTCTGGTCTCTCCCACTCACCTGCGGCACCTGCGGCCTCTGTGGGTGGTCCGATGACTGCTGATATCGCCGCTCTTCTTTTCTCTTGCCTGCAGGCAGCCTCTGTGATGTCTGAGCCCTACTGGGCAACAACCTGCCCACTTCTGTGTGCTGGTACCCTGGGCAGACAGCATCCTTGTCAGATGAATGTTGGATGCTGCCACTCTTCTCCCGCTCTTCTCCAGGGCTGTGACCCATGCTTGGTCACGCACCCTTGCTGCGCCCAAGCATTGCTGAATACAAGTACTGGTATATCTCTGGTCTTGGATTTACAGTGCATTTATTTACAGTTCTTAGTCTGCTATATCTTATTTTTTTTGTTTTCTTATTAGCCCCTATCTGGACCCAGTGTTGACTATGCTTATGACTTGGACCATTATTCCAGGTAGACTTACATCTGTATTCCAGCCCCTAGATATGTGTTTAAATGAATCTTTCAAAGACCATGTGCTAAAGATGTGGCATGAATGGATGTCATCTGGTGAAG